CCCACTGATTTGTTCTGTTCTTGCCATACAGTTCTTTATGCCCTAATTGTTCTGGTGTTGGAAGTCTCTTACTGTAAATGCTACTCTTGCCCTTTCAAGCAGAGTTGGATGTATTCCAATTGTCCTTAATATTTTATTATTACTTGTATAACTCCATCAGCATGGTGTGAATTTCCAGTCATTGGTTCACAATATCATTTACCCACATTCAGATTCTAGAAAGCATTTGCTGGGATTTCTTTGCTATGTAGAATTATGGGTTGTGAACACAACATCAACGCAACTAAAGGTCCTCAAATACTGTGATGTACTATTTGCCAGGTACTTTAGCAATTTATGTTGTGGCCCTTCTAATTGTTCTGCAATTATTTTTGCTTGAGTGACTGTTACATGCAAGTTGGGTAAGCTTTACAACATGAGAAGACAAAAGGTATAAGATTAAAAGCAGGAAAAAAAAAGTCAAAGAAAAAAAAAAACAAACAACCAAAACAAACCTGTCTCCACCACCTCACCACACCCCAAGCCCTCACATCATATAAGAAACCATGTAGGTACAGATACATTTATACTAGATTTGAAAACCCAGACTATTAGTAAGGTGCTGTACTTTAGGATAACCACTAGTTCATCAGCTCCATATAGCAGATTGTCATCGTGGTAACACCTTGAAGAAAATCTGTATGCAGAGGGAATATAACACCACAGCCACATCCTTCCTTTAGCTATGGAAATAACGCTCTGACATGTGTGAAGAGGGGAGGTAGTCCAATAGTCATCTCTAGCAAAGGCAACATTTTATAATAATTTCTAAAGCAAAAGGAAGCAGGCATAACTCACACTTAAAAGAAGTCTCTGTTGAGATGGACAAGCTGGAATGCAGAAATATGTGTAAGAGGACATGCAGATACAAGTTTGTTGATGTAAGTTAAATACACAAGAGCTAAGGGAGGCATGAAAATATACGAATTTAAGTATTTTTAATTGATTATACCTACATTCTGCAAGGACATAGCTGTTATCCAGGAATAATTGGCTATAATGTTGAACACATGTATGACAATAGCTCCTGTTTTAGATATTTTAGAAAGAAACAAATATGAAGAGAGCAAAGAGATCAAGATGAGTAAAGAAGTTGAAATAACTTCCCAAATGTCACAAAACTGAGTTTCCTGACAAAGAACGGAATTACTCAAGTGTGTAAGACAATCTGTTTCACAAGAATAGTGTAAAATAATTTGGAGATTGAGACTTGACCAAGATCATTAAAAAGACATACGGTCTTTTGAAAAGGTAGCATTTTTGGAAACATAAAGGTGTTAGATTCCTTCTCTCCCTAGAGTTAGTTTTGGAAATTTAATTCTGATGCTGCATGAAGTGTTTCAAAGGTCACAACATCACATGCAAAAGCAACAATCCACATGCAGTTTTTTCCTAACAGTTACAAAAAAAAATCTTACCTATGATTCACATAGGCTTGTGAATCCTTACGGAAAACCCCAAGCCTCATATGTGAGCACCTCCTGAGGGAAAATTAGTCATTTCACATAGCACTAATGATAGCTTGCCAGTGTTAAATTAATGGCATCCTTGGGGAGAAAGGTAATAACATTTTTTCTGATTAACCTAACTGGCTGCAGAACTCCACTGTAGTTCTGTTCAAATTCATCAGCAAAGCCATTTTTTGTATAGTGCCTTGTGTTGGAAACCTCGATTCTCAGAGCTGAAAGGGCAAATGCCAGTTTCTGGTGTTCTGCTGGTTTCTGTAATTACTTATGATCACAAACTACATTTATTCTCATAAGATTTAGCTAAGATGTAAAATCCAATGATATCCCATAAATCCTCAAAATAACTTTTTACATCAACAAGTCATTTGCTTGGTTTTCTTAAGTCCATCAGTCACTTCTAGTATGAAAGACGCTGTAGGAACTGAAGACAAATTAGGAAGCTGAAACACGAAGCAGTACACACAGGTTACAACAATGCAGTTGTCCAGGTGAAGAGTTTATATACCTATTCATTTAATTTGCACTGCATTTTTGCTTCACAAGATTTAACAAGTTTCTTGTTAGAAGAAACTGAATAAAAAAGAAAATGAGTGCGAACATTTTCTTTCAGGATTTTCTTTTTAATACACTGCTATGCTATTTATATGTGTACAGTCATATAAAAGGAGTAGTCAAAATATTCCTAAGGAATTCTGTGCAGTATGATGGTAAAATGGAAACGAAAGGAGTATATAATGACAATAACAATTAAGATTTCAGAATGCAGTGAGGACACATTTGTTCTTGTTCTCTTCAAAACATCTCTGTGCTACAATTCTTTAACACTTTGAACTAAGTTTTGTATCAATTTATTATCAATTATAATAAAGTTTATAGATAGATTATGACACCTGATGCAAAAATGAAGTTGCATCACACAAATATGAGTGTTATCAATAACAACAAGGTAACCTGTCAGAAAAGAGAAGTGAAGATGAATTTTATAAGAAGAGTTAGATCCTACTCTTTTTTCTCCTGACAGATCCTCTGGGTCACATCCTCTCTTTTACTTTGTGTTTGAGACTTCTTTAGGACTTTGTCTACACAAAGATGAAATCGAAGCCTCAGCAGTCAACCCACTTTATTCAATTACAACCATTACTGAAATACAATAAGCAATGTTTAGTCCACATGTGAAAAGTGAGGGAAAATTTACTTCAGTGAAATGTAGTACCACTATCCAGTTTGGAACTTGATGGTAAGAGTGTCAGCTTTGTATAGCAATATAAACTGTGAGAACATAAATGAAACAAGACTTCTAACACTAACTCTGGAGAGGTGTATTTAGAACTTTATTTTTTTTTATTAAGCTAATTCCCTGCTAAAGCACCTTGCATTTTTCTTGATAAGTCAATATGAGTCACTTCAAACCCTATTACCCATGAGAACTTAATTTAAAATTCATGGGAGACTACTATCTAATGATTCATTTCATTAATAACTCGTATCCCTGGTTTCTAGGCCACAAATGCTCCAGTCTCTGAAAGCTTACCCCAGTTGTTCATAAGAACATTTTAATTGCCTCATTTTTAGCAAACACAGAAGGCTAGATCAGTCTCTGAAGTTCACAACAATTGTGTAGAGAAACCTTTAAGTGCATTCAAAGAGAATCCATATGCACTGCTGATACAGGGTTGCCCCTGCTGCCATCCACAGGAAAGCAACCTCTATTTTAAACTGTCACCTCATTTTTTGAATATATAGTAAGAAAGGTAGCAACAAAGATTTGACAGCTGCAACTATGAGAAAATGAGAACCGATGACAATTTAAAGAATGACAAGGAGGCTAGACTCAAAAGACAAAATGAACAAAACCTTAACCATGATTCTCCTATAAGTGAAGATAACTCAAAAGAATTTTTGTTTCTGTTCTTAGGTGTGTACTTCTAAAATCAGAGCTTTGTGCGAAGACTATCTCAGTTAATACCCAATTTTTGATATACATAGAACTATCCTGACTTGCACATACCCATGCGAGAAGTTGATAAATCAAGGTTACTGCAGATACTTAATACCTGAAGCAAAAAAGCCCCAAGTGATTAACATCATGCATTCCTGCAGATGGTCTCAAGGATGACCCTATAAAGCACACCACGCTGTTTGGGCCACCACTACAGGGAGCTCTGCATGCAGCAGCTGGTGTGACTCCTAACCAGAGAGTAGGTTGGGGTTTGCAAATACATCCCACATGATCCAGGGCTTCCTTTTACTGGTAGGTGTTTAAACTATCAAGTCAGAGTTAATCACGTGTTTAAACTCAGAATTACCACTAAAACTGGGCTTAGTGAAACATCTCATATACTCTTTTCTGTAGCAAACATAGTAGTTCTGCTTTCTCTGCCAGGAAGCACAGCATTCACTGCAAGCTTTTTAAAAAGATATACAGAAAGTTCAGTCATGTTACTTCTGAGACAATCTTTGAAATTACATTTAACTCTTATGAGATCATCTAGAAACTGCCCCAGCACAGTATGTCATGAGCCCCAGTCTTCCAAGCTGACAGAAGTCTTCTGAATGTCACCCAAATGACATTTGGATGCTGGCGAGGAGCTCTCAGAGGTGGTATACCAAATATCCCTTTCATCTCTCTAGTCATTTTAGAGAGGTGACAAGATGCATTTCAGTCTCCAGATCCATTTATGTCTTAGAAATCAACTGAATAAGCAATGCAATAAGCTTTTGAAGTGGATGCAATTTAGATTTTTTACATTTTTGGTGCTGAACCAAGCCCCCTGTATCCACTACTTTGTATGTGGTCAGGAATTAGACATGTTCTGCAGATTCTCCCTTCTCTCATTTCATGCGAGTTTCAGCAGATTATCTAAGTATGTTGTTATTCAAGGAAACATAGTTGTAACATGTGACAGTTATATTTATGTGGTGCAAATAAGCTGGATAAAAAGCCTTACATAGTAAATGCATTTGAATAACACAGAAAAAGCATAAGGAGCATTCAGCCTCATCTTACATGTCTAACTAAAGCTTCTCATGATGCTTCATTCCTCTATAGTAACTCAAAAGTGAATTAAAAGCCAAGAAATTACTATGTTTCTAAATAAATCATTTCTGAAAAAGACAATCTCATAACCAGAGGAAAGTCATTAAGCTGAAAATCCATGCTGAGCTGTGAAGTGCATTATATATTCCTTGATGTATTAACAGCAAGGGAGTTATTAAAGCAAAGTATCACAGAATATTCAATAAACTCTACATCAATAAAATTTACATTTTTCCCCAGAATTGAATGTTTATAGACTTTTTAAAAATTATTTCTTAAGAGAATTTAATCTTAAACAAACAGTATGTAACTATATCTTGAAGGCAATACAGCATCTTGTTAGTAAAATGTCTAAGACACAGCATCGCTGCTACATGGGCACAAAGAAGTTGGGGGAACTACGTGATATACTTAACAGAAGAAACAAATCAGAAGAAAGAAATTAATCTTCTTACCTTCACAATTAATCACCATCTGAAATCATTCTAGAGGTCTATTTGGACTTTCTCTTTGTTTGGTGTGGTTATTTTTCCCTAAAGAAAGAAGAAAATAATTGTTTTCATTACTACTTCACAGGAAATGTTATGCTGTTTAACAGCAGGAACATTATTGTTTATTGATCTTTCATTTAATTTAGAGATATAGTTAAAGACAATTGATTTAGGTAAAACAAGAATAAGGGAAAGAAAAAGAAAGAATAAAATCTTACTCTGTTTTCCATAGTTTGCACATCAACCATATTATCCTAATGAATGAATTAAAGCATCCCAACACTATAAATTATCTTTACTACCTGGGACTATTAAAAATATCAACGGAACTCTGTCCATTATCATCTTCTGGAAATAAACCATTTTTTTATTTGCTTATTACAGCCCCCCCAAACGTACCCTGACCTTTGAGATGTATTCACTTACTAATTGAAAAATGACACTAATAAAGTTACAAATTTCTGATGTGAAATTTCTCTTAAATAGGGACAACAAAATTACATGACTGAGATACTTTCCCTGAACAAAAGGTGTACTGCTCAGTAATGCCTTTCATGTAGGAAGGTGATGTTCTTCTGTAAGAGAACTTGTTTTACCAGCTTGTAAAAATAGCCATTCCTACACATAGTCCCTTCCCTCCAATGCCTTCAGAAGGCATTTGGAAATTATCTGAATGCCCTGGAAAAAGCCTGGGAAAAGATAGATCTGTCTATCACATTCAAAGAACTCTTAAAATATACACAAAAAGATGGTGGGAAAGAGTTCTTCTGAACACCTCTCCCTCTGACTGCTGATAGCCTCATGCAGCTTCTAGATGAAAAGTCCCTAAGTGATAGCTTAGAAACCAAATGCCCTCCTAAGCACAAAGGTATGGTTGTTTTTTTTCCAAGTTTTAATAACTTGTTTTCAAATTCTAAACTTCTTATTTAGTTTAATATTAAATAACAAAGTGATTCTATGCTGTTAAAAGTTTGGGCTAGTAAACCCCATGCTCAGCTATATGGAGATTTTAAGTCCAGTTTCAGCACTGGATGGAAGCAATCCTCGAGCAGGCTAACAAGCAACATGAGTCACTGCAAGAGCTGAGCACAATGGAAGCATTCTTTATAGAGAAAATGGGTGGTGCAAAGAAAAAGTAGAATTTTTAAGTTCTTTGTAACCTGTCAGATCATCACAGTCTATGACAGATGCTGTTCAGACCTTCAGAATACATGAAATACCTGGTAGTGATGCTCACTGTTAACGTAGTACTAAAAGTGTTAGGTGATTTTAGCCCTACACTTTTTGAGTTCTTCTAAACTTAAGTACAATTATGAAACTGGCCTTTTTTTTTTTTTTTTCCTTTCTGTAAGCTTATGCTATGATTTTCTGACTGAGGTCAGAATTTTGTCAATAGACTAGTAACTTTATACTTAATCATGCCAGCCAGATCTGGTTATGTCACTGACAAGTAGTTGTCTTAAAAACAAGGCTATTTGTCAGTAAGAGTAAACCTTTACCCTTTGAACAGAAACCACGCAGCAATGCTACAGAACACCATACAATGGAAAAGACAATAAAAACAAAGAAAATGGATTATTATAAGATGCATCCAAACTATAGCAGAGTCATAACTAGGAGTTTCTCTGACAAGACAAAACAAAAAAGATTATATTATGTAATTATTTTCAGATTGTGTAGCTGATGCAGAAAATTTCAGAAGTAATTGTACATTTATTAGTAGTTTGTAAGAGCAAGAAACTGCAACTCCATCTGTTTTTTTGGGGAAAGAAAAAAAACAGCCTTCACTATCAGATTTTCTTTTCCTAAATTGTGGATGCATTTCATAACATTTTATACATTAGAACATATTGCATGCTAATCAAAAAACTATTTTGTACTGTGTATATTCATATTCCTTATGTTTGTATTGATGTGTTTATTTGTAAAAGAGATTATCTTAAATGTATTTTTCTTCCATATATTGAACACAAACGATCTTATTGTTGTGCTCCAAGATAATAAATTTTTATACATTAAGTTTGATAGTCTATCCAAGTCTAAAGCACTTAAATTCATTTTAAATGAAAAGAATTAAAAAAAAAAAATTAAAGCTAAAAAGGTCTTAAAGATGAATAATGATTTTGTGAGCAATGCTTATAAAATTATTACTGTCAAACGTGTGATTCTCATCACAAGATTAAACCTATACAAAAGATTCGAAAACATACTTCAGCTGCAAGTAAATGAGAAATCAATCAAAAGATGATATAAATGAGTGACCTAGCTATAAGAAAAAAACAACCAACCAACCAAACAAAAAACGTGTGTTGTACTTTGTTGTACTTATGGATCCTTTTTTATTATTATAATTATAAATTAATTTTTTAAATGGAAAAGCTGACCATTCATTTTATCTACTTTTGTTGTAATTGGAGAAGTTTGACTATTAGTAGTCTTTGTTAAATAAAAGCCTTGAGATCACACAGACAGTGTTAAAACTCTCAATATATTTGCTTAAGAGAAAAAACATAATGGTAGCTGGGCTTATCAGTAGGAAAACTACATAGATATTGTTAGGCAAATACAAACCTAAGTGCCCAATAATATATTTTAATAAGTTAAAGTACCGTGTCCACTCCAAAAGCTCTTAAAGAATGTGAAAGTGTATTATGAAGAATTGATTTTCTTTTTGTAGTTGTATAAAACAGAAGGCAAGTCATCTTAATTCATGTTACCATAAAATCGGCAAGTCCTAGTCTTGGACCAAGGCTAACACTAAAGAATACACAAATAGCTCCAGAGGAACAAGAAAGCAGGGGAGAAAAATCTGAGGTCTGCTTTAAATACAATTGCTATCTATCTACATGTAATACATCTTAATTTACTTTTTAAATAAAGGATCTTACTGCTGTTATTGTAGTTGTTCTTACTATTATTAACATTGGATGTTTCCATGAAATCCTTGTCATGCTCTATTACAATTTCATGCAAGAACAGGAATATTCATGGCAACTTCCTAGGGACTGTGCACATAAGCACAGTAGTCATTTAACACTTGATTATAAATTTCTGATCCTACTAAAGTCAAGATTTTTACATACATGGACAGAGAGCTGTTGAAGGTGCATGCAATTGCTGAAATGGAGAAAGAGGAGAGAAGAACTAGGAGGAGTTTGGTAGGACCCTGGTGACTGAAATGCAGGGAAATATTAGAAATGAGAAAAGTAAACTGCATGAGATTTGTGTCATTTTGTCGTCTTTAAAATGTAATAAGTCAAACAAAATGTAAGGTTGTTTTTTGGTTTTTTATTTTTTTTAATGTTTATTTTAGTAAGACCTCACTGTCAAAGGCAGTCACAGGGAAAAAAATATAAATTGCCTTTGTGTGTTATTGATCAAATAAAGCCTAAAAAAAAAAAAATGAAGCATTAAATAATCAGCAACAGTTCACATTTTTTGAATAGTCTTTGTAAATTTCTAGTAGATGGAACACTCAAAATAAAAACTCAGAAATTTGATGTCAAGGCTCAATTTTACTGTTAATGTGCTACAGCTTGAAGTCACCAATACTGACAAATCTGTCACGGTGTTGGAGCATACCGCTGCATTCTTGAAACTGTTCTTCTATGCTGACTTTTACAGGTTTCAAGAGCACCATTTTTATATGTGAAGTCAGGAAGTGTTATAGATCCTTAATTATTCTGAAAATCAAATCCGGTACACCTGCTGTGAGACACCTAAACTGAAGGAAAGTGAAATCTGCTATAACTTCTGGGAGAAAAAAATATATAATAATAATAAAGCTTTACTATATTCATCTGTGAAAGATGTATACCACTGGGATCAAACACATTATGATACTTGATGTTATAAATACATACATATGTTTTGTTTTCTTATTATATATACATACGTATATATACTGCAAATGCGTATTTCACATATACGTTTGCCTTTTGTGCGTACTTCTGCATATGTTCTGAAATATTCAACTGGAACTTCCCAAATGAATTCAAAGTACAAATGGGCAACCAGTCGTTCCTTAACCATTCCCTAATTTTTAAAATGAGGTGGAAAGAATTCATGAGGTGTTTAAAGTTTGAATTCCTCAGTTTTATCAGTAAGTTAAGGAATGATTATTTATGTCAAAATACAATGTGTCTGGGTGAAGACTAGCCATATGAAGCTATTTTTGCTTGGAGTAAAATACCAGCTTCAGTTATAAAATGCAGGTTTTGAGCATTCAGCTGATTTCTGTCATCAGGTGTCCCTACTGAAATTAACCAGTCTCAGAAAGAAAGAATGCTACCTAACATGAGTCAGGGCTCATACTTTATCTCAAAATACCATTAAAAGAAAAACAAAGTAAGCTTTATATTTTCATGCAAGAGTTTATAATCAATATTACATGTGGTTTTGCAATAGCAAAATGATAACCTCAAACACTGAAAAATGTGAACAAAAAGGATATAATGCAATTCTATTATAGAAAAGACAGAAGATTGTCATTATATTTTTTGTTGTTTTTATTTTTTCTTTTAATGCACTGTTCTAAGCATTTGAAAAGCAGCTAAACTGATAGGGAATAACCTTCTTAACAGTCTCCAAGGACACAGAGACTGCAAAAGAGCTGTCTTCTTTTTCAAAGAAAGAAATCCCCAGACTTGCCCCAATGCCACAAATTATCTAATTAGTGAATCTCTTTTAAAACCAGCAGAAAAAAAAATGCTTTGTATTGTTTATACAATAGCTAAGGAAAGACCAGTTAAAAATCCATTATATAGACTTGTGGAAAAAAAAAAAAATAATTAATTAATGATGAGCAGCACTTACTAATGATGATACCCACTGCAGTGGGCAGTGCAATGTGCAATTATATGACCAATAAAGCTTTCTTCATCTTTTTCTTCTCATAGACCTTTTTCTCTGGTATCAATGAACAGAAAATACTGTATATAATGTGTTTGTACAAATGGTATCAGCTAAAGAAATACAGATTATGAGAGGTTTTTCATTCCTCCTCCAGACAGTAGAGATTAACTACAAAGTTCATAGGTCACACACAATGCTTTCCAAATGCATTATGGATTAATCCTCTCCCCCAGTGTCCAAAGTAGGAGGGTGAGATAGGGTATAATGATATAGCAAGGAACTGGCTTGTTGCTCAGCTTTTTGCTTGAAAGTGCACAATTGAAATCACAGTGTCACAGACCAGGTCAGCAATAATTAGCAGTATTTTCGTAGAGCTCAGTACAAAACATGAAGAAACAATCCTTGGAGCATCTCCCTTATGGAGGCACAAAGGGCATATGTTCTGCTTATGTTTTCAGTGATGTATGTACTGCAGACAGTGGAGACATTTTTTGTTTTAGGGAAAACAAGGTAACAATCTACCAGGCAGGAAGATACAGCTACCATGCAACAAGAAAATTGAACTGTTTTTCCACCTTTATATTTAATTAAGCTGATTTAAAGCTTAAGCTGTAAAGGCCACTAAAATGTTGTTATTATCCAAAAAAAAAAAAAAGGGGGGGGGGGAGGGGGGAAAGGAGGGGATTGTGCCATGCATACAGGCTACAGAAATAAGCTACAGAAACATGCTAAATTAAATCTACATGAATGACAAGCATAAGAAGTTCCATAGAAATAAAATCCAATTTAAGGCCTTGCAAACTACTTCAACACAGCAGGAAATTAAATTTTTCTTTCATACAGGATTTTTATATAAATTGTGTCAGAATGCTCAAGCCTACTGGAAACATTACATGGGATGTGGATCCGGCAATGAAAACTGAGATTTGTGTAGCTTAACTGCACAGCATGGACCTTCTTGCCTGCAATATTCAGAGGTCTGCTCTCATCATTCAGGATAAACAAGGGTTCATGTGTATACCAGGGGGCAGCTTCTCAGCTGATGCAAAGAAGAACAGCACTGCTGGCTTCTGTGACAAATGATGTTTTTTATAATTAAAGAGTTATGACTCTATTCCTTTTCAAACCTAACATTTTTATACTAAAAATGCTAGAAATCCTTTTAAAAAATAAACTGAATAGAGAATACGAGAAAAAAAAAAAAAGATGTTCTATTGAGAATTTTCACACATTTCCATATCAATAAGATAGTCATTCTGTAGATGTTTCCTTATTTAATGGTCTTACATGAATACTCAAGCAAATCAGTTTATGCAAAGGAATTCCAAGGAAAGATTATTATATTCAGCAAATACCAGACAATTTTCACAGGCTATGTTTGAGACGTGTTTTTATTGGAAAGCTAAGGTACCCGCATATATATTAAAAAAAAAAAAAGCACTTTCTTGCAATGAATTTTCAAACAAAGGTCTTGAAGGGCAGACATAGTCATACCAATTACTTAGAAAGTTAAGTTTAAAAACATCGAAAAGAGAGAGTTCTGCTTCACCTTCTAAAACTTATCACTTGGTCTCCACTTTGTCTTCTTCACATCAAACTACCCTCTAATACTCTCCTTGCTACCACATACTTCAATCCACTTCTGGAAGCAGTCTGGGGTAGGAACAATTTCTCCCTTGTGCCAGTATAGCACAGGGCACTTCCCACTTTGGAATTTGCATTCACGCAGCTGAACACTGCCTACTTCCAGATGTTAATGTGATCAAGAATAACAGCAAAAAACAAACACATAAAAAGTATAAACAAACAATAAAACAAGACCCACTTGGCAAACAAACTCAGATTCAAGTATGAAGCTAGACTGGCAACTTTGGCCTGACACGGCAATAAGAAAAGCAAAAAAAACCTCCTATTCCACACTGGGAAATGGTGTGAATCTGAATCTTTCCTGTCATACAAAGCCATGGCTGTGCTTGCAGGTGGAAGCAGTAGAGTTCAAGATGTGCCCATATAGAAGGCAAAATGGCTGACATGGCATTCCCAAGTTGATCCAAAATAGTTAGAGTCTATTCACATTTGGTATAAACTCTGTATTTTCACATGGCTTTCTCAGTAGAATAAAATAGTATCTGAACACTTCCTGCAGAGTGAAGCCCTGCTTGGCATCAATTTCTGAACCCTTTTTCTAAGTAGCAATCTGTTCATAACAAAACTTTCAGAATAATGGACAAAGAATTCAAATCCAAATACAAAAAATACAGAAAATCCTCTAGTTTCATACAACCTACAGCTAAGGAGAGGAACTCCTTTCTCTAGGTAACAGACAATGCCAAAACTTACATAGGTTCAAGAAGCAGCAGGACAAATTCAAGAAAGAGGGCTATTAACTACATAAAAATTATGCCTTACGAAGAAATTTCCTAAGCTGCAAATCAATGTTAGGGGAAAGATCATAGATATTCACTCTGTTTTAGGTATCTACTTCTGGCTACAGTATGAGACAGGCTTCTGGGTTAGGTAAACTTATATAATTCCTTATAACCCTATTATTGACCGAAGTTTTTATTTTTACATTTTTCTTTCCCTCCTCCCCCTTCTCCCCCCCCCCCCCCCCGCTTAAAATGAAATATTTTCAGAATAAGAACAACGATGACAAAAACATGAAAAACATGGCATATTTTAAGTTTTTCTCTTAAATTCCAAGATTGCACTAGTGAAATCAAACATTTCTTCCTGATTTCACGTTTTGTACAGCTAACTTGAATCATTTGCATAATCCAAAGTATAGGTTTGGAGATTTTATCTCATCTGCATTGCTGTATTATCAGCAAATAGGACCAGGGAATCTAGTCTACCAGCCCTTCTCCACTACTTTCACCCCAAGTTGGTGCAAATATAAAATAACACCAGAATTCCCCAGAAGACTGGTGTTGCTTCTGCTAGCTTTAATAACTCCTGTACTAGTTACCACTGAAAAAAGACAGTTCATCTTAATTAGAAAAGTCTAACCAACAAAATTATGATTGGGAACTCCATGCTATGAACTATAGTACTGAATTGCAGGCATCTTGCAACCACAATGATAATCTATGCAAGAATTTTCATAGCAAATGCCAGAAATAATCATAAACTGCTCAAGCTAAATTGATAATCAGAAAGAGAAGAGTAGGGAAGTTCATAATGGAAAAACATCCATGCCACAAGGTTTCTCTTTTTTTTTTTTTTTTTTTTAAAGAAGTTTTTTATAGTATTCTATCGAGGATATACAAATAAATAATATGTATACATAGTTCACATTGTTGTGTACCTGAACTGAAGAATATTGTTTGGATGTAGAAGAGCAGTTTGGAGTACTTTCACCTCTTGCTTCTCTTCATTCACCAGGCCTATTCACTCAGCACTTTACAATTGCTTTGAAAAAAAAAAAAAAAGTTTCATTTTATTTTGCTTTCAATTCTAGCAACATAAAAAACACAGATGATCATAAGTTTGAATTAAGTATTGACATAAGCAAAGAAAGGCCAAATTTCATTTGCAGCAGCAATAATTATCAAGGAAAAAAAATAGATGATTCCCAAATGCCAAAACCATTTAAGCTGCTGTTGATCTTATTGTCAAAAAAAAAAAAAAAGAACAGTGACAATCTAAGAAAGCAAAAAATGAACAGTAGCAAAAATCATACCATTCTATGAACTTCCACTCATCCTCAAATGCTTATAATGGATGTTGTAGATGCTGATGGTCACTCTAACCTCATGTAAAAATGTTTAATTAACTTTAACCTAGGATTATGGCATACATGTATTTTCTGCTGTTTTTTTGTTGTTGTTGTTGTTGTTGTTTGTTTGTTTGTTTCCAACTGCATTGTGCCCTTTTTAAAGTTTTGAACAAAATGCAAGGAATGGATATTAGAGAACAACTGTAACAGAGTGATGGACAAACCGTAATGGGTACAAAAACAAATACAAAACCACAAAACACACAGAAGACCTTTAAGATTTTTCCATACAGGAACATTTTATATACCAACTATGAACAAAGTATACCGATGAAAGGACAGAGTTGTTCTGCTCTTGACTGTTTGTGGGATTTTCTGCAGGAGTCACATTTTAAAATAGTAGTAGTAGAAATGATTTTCTTTAACGCTACATGTATAGTTCTGTCAGTAACATGTTATTTTGGCGTTAATGGTCAGCTGCACCTACTTTCTTTAAGAGTAACTCTCAATGGAAACCAGTGTCTTGTTTGCTCCTGAGTCATTGTCTGCCTGGGAATGGGGGAGGGGGTTGTTAAAACATCAGCAGCTTTAAATACCAAATTTTTCTTCATTGACTTTCCACAACCCTTTCCAAATTATTATTCAGGGATACCAGGAATGATTTTCTTTCTTTCCTCTTCAAGGCTACCCTTGAGTCATTTAAGTCCCAATGATAACTTGATATTGTAGTGTGATGCTACATCAAAGCTCTAGCATGATGTAGGGATCTTTACAGCACTGTGACTTCCAACTGCTAAACTGCACAGTTCACCCTTCTGTGTTTCCTTCTATCCTTTTCTACCCCATTCCATGAATCATATAAGTTTAAAAGCTGTTTAGAAGCTACTGAATGATGTCGTCATGTGTTTTCACAGTGGAATGGGCTGTTGCCATGTCTTTTTTTTTTTTTCCACCAAGCTTCAGCTCAGAAATTGGAGGATCTCCTTTAACTTCTCTTCTCAAAGCAGCACTTACAAGGGATAAATACAGTGTATACCTAGACAGCACCAGCAATGATTGAACGTACATACATTAAAGGAGGGAAACTCAGGTGAAGATTGTATGAGTTAGACTGAAATTCTTTCTATGTCTAGTCAATGTAAAAAAAAAAAAAAGAAAGAAAAAAAAGAAAAAAAAAGTCAGATTTTCTGGCTTCTGTCTCATAGTACACTTCTGTATTTCTATTTATGTGTACCCTGTTTACAAATTCTATATTCCAGTGTTTGTTCTTCTAGTATACACTATAGGAAGCTACAATCATGGTTTACTTCTCTCTTTTTTTTTGTAATACAATTATGCATTCAAATTTCAACACTATAAAAACATGAATTAAAGACATTGAAATGGAAGTTCTGCTTCATTGTACTTCTAAAAAATTATTATACTATAAAAATGAGGGAAAAAATTGCATTTTTAAAAATCATGAAAATTAAGACAGATTTTAATCCACTTTACAACTTTTCTCATCAGTTTTAGACAATTTAAACAGTCAAGAATATGCCAATAAATAAAACCTAGAATGGCAAATCACAATTTAAGATGAAATCTTATTACTAAGAAACTGTGGTGACAAAATAGTTTCATCTGTTATATTAAAAAATTAATGAAGAAATGATTCTCTTGTTGCAAGAGTAACACATGGTTGAAATCCACAATCTAATATAGTTTTAATTTATTACAGATGAAATTAAATATTTAGATTATATGATGGAATAAATAATGCTGGTGAATTCTCAACTGTAGGCAATTACATGTTCAATTATGTACTAAAAGAGCAGTGGGAATCAAAATCTTCACTGTAAATCCAATTGAAAGCTTTTTATAAAATAGTTGACCACAGAACTTAGCTTCAATGTCTATTGTTTGGAAAAAAAGCATCACACTTTGAACTTATGTACATAGACATATGCACTTATGTATGAGTATATAGACATACAGATGCATCGCTTTTCTTTTGCTTGTTTGAGCTTTCCTCAGTGAAGGGAAATTAGCTTCTGAGTAATCTGATTTTATTTATTTTTTAATGTATTTTAAACAGCAACACTGCACAATTCAAGACATTATTGGTTCTCCCAGTTAAGAACTAATAGTATAAGTTCTTTATGCTACACATATCCATGAGAAGTAGAAACTTCACTAGTACTCAATACCACAATTCCATTTAAAGACTACCTTTGCTCTTGAGATCCCACTTGCCAGTAGAGATGTATTTGTCTAAAAAGCTATGTCCATTAATTCCCAACACAACTAGAGGATTGACTTCTGTTTGTTAATTTGTATGGATATATATAACTGTAGTGACAATATAGATGTTTACCTGATTATATTTCAGCTATTACAGTTCAGATCTGAATTGAAACAAAGAAAAGAAAAATAGGACCGAAGCATTACTGACACAAAACTGAATAAAATGGAATTCTATTTTATAAGCAAATACTTCAATAAGTATTTAATAAGACTTTTTAATCAATAAATAATTGTAACAATTACTGAGGACCTGAATCATCTAGTCTCTCCAAAAACAATCCATAAGTCCTTCATATTTCACACATAAGGGGAAAGAAAATTACTGGAAAGCATTTATAAAAATATGTTAGTTTTCAGATTAAAGACTATTTAAATTGTTTATACCAAAAATAAGAGCTGAAGAGAGCAGCAGCTATGTTATTGATTTGAAAACTTTAATGGAATAAAAATATTTCAAAAACATTTGGTTAATTTAAATGTTAAAACTGGAACGGGTTAAACCAAACTATGTAGATTTGGTATAAAAAGCATGATTCTGAGTACTTTTTCCTTATTATTGGCACTCTATTAAGGCTAGTTTCCTGTACATTATAATGAGGTTTTAAACCAACAGAAGCATCTCCTGACACCTCTCCTCTACTGTCACTTTCTCCTATCACCTTTCTATGCACCTCCTTATTTCCCCAGAAGTGGCTGGGTGACCGTGTAGTGAAGTAAAGCCCATGCAAATTATAAATAACTTGAAGGGAAGAAAAAAAATCCTAGGTGAAACTGTACAAAAACTATGACACAAGGATGAGATCTTCAATGATTTTTTTAAACTAGTTCAAGTATTTACTGGGATAATTCTTTGTTTCCTTGGAAATAATATTTTATTTCTTAATAATTTAAGTGATCCTTCTATCTAGTATAGATCACCTAAACTTGAATTCTTTGAAGATATGGCAGTGTGAAAAGGGTGTAAATGAGAAAATTTAATTCCTTTTAGCAACTACACAACCAGTTGAAAGTTTATCAACAAGCAAAGATGCAGAAAAATTCAAAATATGCTAACATTAGAGATGTAAATTATGTGATTTTTTTGAAAGCTAGTGGCACATATTATAATAAAGGGGCACACCTGAATATAATGGCATTAATATAGGTGGTTTTGTTTGTTTGTTTGTTTGTTTTAAATCTGTACAGCAATTAAAGCTCCAACTATTTGGCAGCTTGGCTTACATACCTCTTACTCACTTTGTAAAGAAGACAGCATACTTTAGCTTTCCCATACGCTCTTGCTAAAACTGCAGGTTCCCAGGAAGGAATGTGGAGATTTCACAAAGCCATATTACCTTGACAAAATAGATTCTTTTTTCTCTAGATCACTCCTTTTCTTTTTGACCACGAGGAATATTAAATAAATATATATCATGTAATGCTTCAAAGCAAAACAATGAATAGTATGTATTTTAATGCATTCTGAATTATTTAAAATTTTCTAAGAAAGTTACAATATGATAACAGTATGTTATCACTAGCTACTGCAAATTCAATTAGCATCTGGTTATCTTCAAACTATTTTTTTTTTTGTTGGCTTTTTTTTTTGTACCCTAAATAAATATTTCTAATTCATATTTAAATTAACTTCTGTGATTAAGCAAAACCCCGAAGTGTATCTTTGGTAAGACGTTATAATATAACTCCCAGGATTTTAAGTCACAGTTATATTATACATGTATACTGTGTTAACACGAGTTATGTTCCAGAACAAAGTCATTCGTATTCAATTTTTTGTTTGTGTTTAATTAAATTCATAACTACAGCATTTCATGGTGAGCAAATCAGGGTCAGTCAATGCTGAATTTCATTAATGTTGGAGAATAAAGAAGGAAACTGTAGAGCAGAAATAAGGTCTTGTAACTCCAGCTAAGAGATCAGCTGAAACAACTATTTGTTTGGGATAGTGGATAGGAAGAAAAAAAAGGATCTTCTACTGAGAAACTCCAAACATAATCTCTTCCTGACAATTTTCACTAGGATTTTATGATGTGACAGTTAGGTTTTGAATTTCAAATCAAAACCAGATTTATTTCTTGCTGTGGTAATATAATGGAGTGGTTACACTATGCTGAGGTGTATGGGTTATCCCAGCTTCTAGAGAAGAGGATCTGTGCCAGCACATTTACTGAGGTACAACTCCAGTCTTCAGGAAAGTTATACCAGAAAATTACTCCACATAAAAGTTTACCAAAAAAGCCCATGAAATTCTGACTGAGTCAGACAGAAGTGAGAAAGTCTTTTTTTTTTCCCTGACCCTAAATAAAAAAAAAGCAGAAGAAAAGTTTTAAATTATGATTAAGCTAAAATATTTTAGGATTATCAAAATAATAAACATAAAAATATAAAATAATATACATATATAAAA